CATAAATATGTCCTTATCGACGTTATTCATATCTAATTATTCAAACAGAAGAAAGATTTGGGGATTTATCACTAATTCACAATTTGAGCTCCTCAATTTTTTCTCTCTAGAAAGTGTACCTCAACTGATTCTTAAGAGTACAGTTGGTCTCAAAGGCCCATTAGAGACAAGCAAACCTTCGGATTATAATATAATACGAGTTCCTTTCACGGCATTATGGTTAGTGTAGATATACATTTTTTGTTCCTGTATACTGTAGACCGGAGGATGAACATGTATTGAATGAACTTTGGAAAGATCCGTAGAATGCCAGTGAGAATAAACAAAACAGACAACACTTAAACACGTAGGTAAAAACCTAACGTATTTATGAAAAACGTTGAAAGCAATTCTTCAGTAAATAACCCCCAAACTCTGCTTTATTGAATATCACCCATTGATTTATAAAAGGCTGAAAGTACGGTTTTTCACAGTTTGTGTGTTAACGAACTGCGCCTAAGATGGATCGCCATGACAACAAGTCAGCGACCGCAAACCGCTTCTTTTGTCTACCGCCACACAGTACCTTGGGCTGAACGTACATCGTTGTTGCACAAGTAAGTTATTGACATATTCTATATTTTTTTGATTTTCGGTATTGTATGAAAATTTCGTCTGTTTCGAGAATTGCTGTATTCTACGAGTTGATTGACGGTATTTTAGTGAGAAACATATTTATGAAATGTAGGAGTTGAATTTTTCACTGTTCCATGTATGCCTTCCCTTACCAACATTGGTTTAAATGGTTGGTGATTCATAACTAGTTTGCTGAGATATAGATTCTTTTGATTCTGATAATGACGTGTCTTTCTATTAAATAAAGGTAGTGACTCATCTCCACATAATAGACAGACATATTACTAGACTCAGTTTGAAGTAAACATTTATTTAACCCATCTGATTATATTTATGCATTTCAAATTCTCGCCATGCCAATGTTTTATCTATTTTATGTATTTGACATATTGTTTTGTTATTTTTGTTATCTCTGTTGTTTTGGAGTACAAACTTCTTTTTCAATGCCTAGTTTAGCTAATCATAATATTACATTATGTATATATTTGCGCGCAAGGTGATTGGTTTATTTAAGTCAGCTTGCCTGTTCGTGTTTAAAAGTGACATGGTATATATTTCATTACATTTTTGCCTGTCAAGTGATGGGAATACATCAATTTGGTACAACTTTAACAACATCAATGCAGTATCTTCCCTACTTCTGCTATATCTTTTCCAGTGATGATATAATTTTTCAATACGTCAACAAAATCATTACTTAAACTGAAATTCAATAAAACTATGGCGAAATATGATCAAAAGTACAAATTTCAAGGCAAATAAACCACGTGCCGCCGTTATAGACGACACCTGCCGAATAAGTCTTGGTTAATTCAAGAAGATAAAATCTCAATCCCGAATGAGAACACGGTTAAGTTGAATGATCAATTCTCAACAAATAACAACATAAAATGGTAGAATTCCACATAAAGTCATCCCTTCAAAATGGCGTCGACTTGTTAACAAGAATAACGTCAAATTAATTATTAACTCCTTAATTTTTCTGTGGATGAGATGTTTCCTTTTTGTTTTCAATTTTAATACGTGATCAAATACAAGATATGTATTGGCTTCCTGTTAAGGACTGTATATATCTTACCCTTATGACGGAATGCACAATGCATGTTTATCAAAAATATATGGATATAATATCACACTTGTCTAATATATAATACAGGATAGTAAGACACTTTCCCTCTTCAGTGTCAGTTATCTATTCTTTTCCCTTGGGCCCTTAACCATTGTTTTGTCTTTAGGTTCTCTTTTTTGTCTGCCTGAACCTATCAACATCATTATAATCCAAACTCAAAATTTACACAGAGACTCCGGAAAAAGGGAATAATACCAGGTGTAGCGGGAGTCAGTCCAAAATACGCCGTGATTGTCGGTGCAAGGGGGACAACTCATACTTCACTGTTGACATAATAGTAAACAAATTTGATCCGAGTTCGCGATTTTAGATGCCTTTATTCCATATTTCAATTTATCCTCCTAGATATGATAAATTAAACAGGAAGCTGGTTCGGTTTACCTATGTCGTCAACCAATCATGTATCAACAATTGTATTCTGTTGTGATATTTTATATCTACAACAGACCGGATTTTATGTCAGCCTCTCAGTGGGTTTTCATATCTCCTGTCCACAAGCTTCGACAGCGTTATAAACAAAGTAGGCTAGTTTTATAGAAGCATTGTGCTGTCGTGATATGGGAGTGCGGACAACACGATATGTTTGCTTACAAAACTGTTAATTTTAACGGTTATAGAATACCTATCAGGACAAGTTATTGCTTTCATTTTTTTCTTCGGAATAGCTTGGTTAACGTTGCTTTGAAAATAAAGAGGAAGGGACATAAAGAACATTTTCTGATTGACAAAATAAGTATTGAGTTTGGTGGTACAAACTTCCTACAGACTTCTGACACGATATGGGAACAAACTGATGTGTCTTAACTTATCGAATACCTTATTAAAACAAGTCCATGTGAAGTCATCAATCTGCATCTCTCGAAACCGTTATTTTTTAAAGTTTGATTCTAATATATCCTCCTTGGTGGTGGTGTCTTTTAATTAAGTTACATTACTTTCTTGTTAAACTATTTCTTTGTTCTTTCACAAATATGGGAATTTTTTAAACAGTATCCAACAATGTTTTTCAATGTTTGCTCATGATATACACGTGTTCTTAGTGATACAACGATGGATGACTATGATCAGGCTTGAAAAATATTGGCACAGCACAATATGTTTCAAAATGTTACAGTATTTCCCTTGAAAGACAGTCATATGTCCTTATTCTGAACCATGACTTTACTTGGAATGATATATTTAAATATCTTTTGAACAGATGTGTTGTTTCCCGTAATTCGATATTGAACATATCACCTATCTGCTTCAATAGATTTTTTTAAACTTCAAATTTGAATTCATTGTGAATGACCTTAAATCCGCCAATGCTCACAAAGCTCAAACTCTTCAATAATAATATAACTTCATTTATTGTCTTTTTATTATTTTGGTGGAGGTAATTACAAAACGAAACTTTATAAAAGACCGTTTTCCTATATCCTCAACTGACATTATAGCTAGAAAATAAATTGTTCAAAGTCAGGAAGGTTTTTTGTAGTGTCTTAAAATTAGCTGGATAAAATTATTTTGCGACATTCTTTTACTTGGGCTCAGATATAGTTGGAGTCAATCGAACATTTAAATGGTATTTATGTACAAGTTTATAGTTTTGGAGACGATTTATTAAAATCATCAGCCACAAGTGTTAACATGTGTTCTTATCTACATCACGCAAGACTATTATTAGTTCTCTCATTGCTGTTAAAATAATGAGCGTATGTAATAATAACTAGTAGGCGAATGGCAAAATAAATGTTCATCAAGTAATTGATAAAGTTATTCACATACAAACATTGAAAAAAATATTTACAACTTTTATCTGCCTTTGAACGTTTTAAGAGAAAAATCTAAATTTCTAAAACTGAAGAAAAGAGAATATGTTGCTGCTGCTGCCCAAACCTCTTTATGGTTCTTAAAAATGGAGAAGAGTTCACTGAATATTGACTACTTACATATTTCAACATCTGATTATTGTGATTGATTGTGTTCATGGTACTGTGCACAGTGAACAGATGTCGCAATTCCCCCTTAAACTTACTGCTTGGATAACCAGACAAACACGATGTACCTATTAATATACTTATTTTGCTTTTTAAAAAGTATGGTATATTATCTTACAGAAACTTTATGATACTGAACTTGCGAATAATTTGTTATCAGAAAACTGGATAATATACGTACAACAAATGTATAGTTTGCTCTTCACACACAAAAACGACGCGTATATGTATAGTGTGTCTCCGCTCCTAGATATCTTCAAGATTGAACACATTTGTTGTTCTCATTTTATTCTTTATCTTTATTGTTCTATTAGCCACAAACCGATTTCGTAAGAACTTTAATTAATATCTCTGAAGTTATCTTTGAGTTACTCGAGCGCTTATAATTACACTTCAGATGAAAAATCCGAGTGATTGTAGAAAAAAACAAATGAATTATTGACAATAATGACAGGACTGGTAGTATAAAGAAAAGACATAAGTGAAAGTAAAATTATTCAGCAAAAATAAATCTTGAGATGCCCGATGATCGAAAAAAGTACCGAGAAAGTGTCAGGTTTGGTTATGACAGCACATATACTCAAAAGAAATTTAGCTCAATGTAGTGCTGAATGGAAATTTATAGCATGGAATACTTACAGTTATGGGATTGCAATATGTCAAGCGGTGTGCGATGTCTGCGCGATAGGAAAACTGGCTAATCGAAAATCTAAAACTAAAATTAATCTAAAACTTAAATTCAGAATGTCAAATATGTACTTACATACATGGATATACGTATATTCAAGATTTAGCTATAATATCTTAATGGTGTACTTTGAGGGAAATGAAGATCAGTGAAGCTATACATGTCACAATTGATTAACAATTAACATTAAACTGTAGGAAATATTCAGAACCTGAAATATGTGTTGCTATGACCAATTAAAGATACAAGTATATTCTAAATCTGGTTATGAAAGCTTATGTTCAAAGAGAGAAATAAAATTCAACACAAAACATTCTTTTGTGGTCCGATAAACGCTTTGCAATTTCCAAGGTTGTGCGTGGTTTTTCAGTTGACCCTCCACCAAGACGTCTCTGTGATAGAGATCCACATCTGTTTTAACAAGAGAAAGTAAAGTATATTGAGGTTAAACACAAGCAATACGTCCAAATAGAACTATGGAGATTGACAAACAAAATGAAGGTAAAGTATATCGAATATGTCAGATAATTGTAAACTACTTTAAATCTGTTAACATGCGACAACTTTTTTAATCGTCAGGAGCATAATCATGATGGACAACAAGATACAACCAATGGAAATGAAGAGACTGTCACTTCCTAAAGAATCTCTGACAGAGTCTCAGCTTAATACCGCTATAATGGATATGGTGCATACCAATCAGAACTGGAACAAATGCCAAATGATTTGCCGCGGTAGGTATTTTGTCTGCCAACTTTAAGCATGTGTAATGCAGCATGAATATGATACAATATCCTTTAAACAGCTCGTAATTTAATCGTCATAAAACGAATAAGAATTTGGTATTGAAGTTTTTATGGCTCAACATACAAAAATCTGATATGAACGCTAATGAAAACATGGAAATACAGATCAGTTCTTATACATATGTTATTGTGTAAAATTCACGTGTATGTATCTATTGCTGAAAGGTTATTGATAGTCAGCTGTCAAAGGCATTACTTAATCTGGAGAGCAATCTTCAAAATAACCCTTGTCTCCGAGTGTTTGGCATTAAATAAATATATACGCACTTTCTATTTCATTGTTGTCAAGGACATTTATCCAAAATATTTGTATATGGGGTATAATAGATAAGTGTTTAAAACTTTATCACTAGTTTAAATTTGTCGAAGTATTGCATTTCTAATTAGTGACAGAAGGTAATATGATTTTTTTTAAATCTCACAGGAAACCCAATCACGGATGCCGGGAAGAGACTGCACATGTTAAAAATGTTGATAATAGTGCTGATTCCAGTTATCGTACTAACTGGTATGACGACGAATACCTTTATTGTCTCTCTTGACAACTACATCAGCTTATTGAACATTCGAAGCATCCTTTACTTTAGTATCGAGTTAGGGTGGCTGTTACGTATGATGCAGCGAGAGCGTGATATTAGCGCCCTCTACATCAGTAGTAAGAGTCCTCAGACAAAGGATTTTCTTTTAGATCGCTACCCTGATACAGATGTAGGACTTCAGAATTTGTCATTTTGGCCTACAGGTGCAACGATTGTCAGGACAGAGTTCCAAACAAAGGAGAGTTTTCTATCATACCTGAATCGACATCGGTATCAACTTGAATCGTATAACAGAACATCAAAGGACGAAGTAGCCTTCTATTCCGATAGTATCGAGGTCTTCATCAAATGGTTGTACCAGGCAATCGTGGAAGCGCGATCAGGAACAGTATGGCCAAAATTGGTTGCGTATCAAGAAATTGTAGTTGCTAGTGAGTACTTTGGAAGAGAACGAGGCTTAGGAGTAGCATTTTATGCTATAGGGGGTTTTGCGACTCGAGATGAATATCTTGACTTTGTTGAAAGTCAGGATATTGCAAACATTACATTTGAATCTGCAAGACGATATTCTGAGTTAGCTTACAGTATTTATGAAGATACCCTTGTGAGAAATTCAAGCGTTATCCAGCCAATCAATGACATGAGAAGAGAAATAAGAAACAATCGAAGTTCTGCAGTGAAGGGCTCCTTCAAGTATGCGAATTGGTGGTTTGAAAACATGACTGTTTACCAAGACACTCTTCGTGAGGTACAAATTCGCCTGGCTTTAGAGATAGACGAGATCCTGCGGAAAGAAGCAGAGGATGACTTGAAAAATATTGTAGTCATTTCAGTCGTGTTTGGCATTATATTGATCATTTGCCCACTCATCGTCTTTGCCGTGTATTCACTGACTTCTGAGATCCAGAAGTACTCTATCTCCATTGCGAATCGGTAAGAATGTTAAATTTCAAAATCTCACATTTATCTGTAATCTAATCCGTTTCCCTCCTGAAGATCGACTGTTAATCCTTTGAAACGTATTTATTTTTCCAGGACCAAGGCTTTGAACAAAGAGAAGAAGCGAACAGACACCCTGTTGTACCAGATGTTACCAAGATCCATTGCCGAACGACTGAAACGGAACGAGGAGATAGGGCCCGAAAACTACTCTGAAAGCACAGTATTATTCAGCGATATCGTGGGCTTCACGCAAATTGCTTCACAGTGCTCTCCCCTACAAGTGGTTGATATGTTGAATAGTCTCTACTTGTGCTTCGACGAAAGACTCGAACTGTTCGACGTGTATAAAGTTGAGACCATCGGGGATGCATACATGGTGGTCTCCGGTACGTTCTGCTTGTTAGAGACGGTATTTGATCAAACAGAAAATGTAAAAAAAAAAAAAAAAAAATACAAAATGTAATGTGACTCGAACATCTCAGCTTAACATTGCGCAACATTTGAATAATCAAAACTATCCCGCGAGTTCGAACTGATCATATCACACCAGTGGAGTCTTTAAATGCGATTGGGCATGGAATTTGTTTTTAATTTTTGTTAACTTATAGGAGAGCCTAAATACTTGGAAGGTTAATCGGTTTCGACCATTTCATTAAAATTTGCTCTTGTGGTGTTTAAATTGCATCGTGCCCACGGTCCGTCGTCAATCCTTAAATAATTCTTGTCATCGCTAATTCTCGAAAAGCACATGTACTGATTTGATATTTCACAAGATGCATAAGCAAATCGTTAGTCCCTAAGTTTGCTGTTTTGAGTTTTGGTCTGATCAGGAAAACAGCTGATGGGTGCTCATTTACAAAGTTTGTGGTAGGTTTTTCTTGAGATTCAGTTGTTATCACTGGTCCATGAAAAGTGCTGACAGAATATTTCTCAGATTTCATGTGTAGGTTCCCCTTGGACTGTTGTTGTACCGATTAAGTTTCGGATCAGGAAAGCAAAATGGCCGACAGGTGGCCATCTTTGATTTTTGCAGTTTGTTATCGCTATTTCTGGAGAACTGGTGGGACGTATCTAAAACGTGATAGGTATGTTTCCCTTCGTTCCTAGCTGTGTTCAAATCACACTATGTGTGTGTAATCCTCCATATGATAGAACTGAACTGAAGTCGACTTTATAGTGCTAACACATGGAAACTTAATGTCAAGTCTCACCAGCAGGACGCTCCAGCTGGTCACATAATACTGACAACGAGCAAGGAGAAGGAACAACCAGTTATTTAGGTCCTGGTATCGGCCATGAAGAATTAAAAGAATCCATTTAGACAACGTCTTATTGCTGGCTTGTCTAGCTGTTCAACTAAACCTTTGTCAGAACTACTTACTACCATTCTTAATACTATCAAATCTTTGTTGCAGTCTAACTTTGATGCCGTTTACACGAGAAGTGAAATAAATATTACCTGGATTTTGAAGAACTCCAAAGATCTTTTGACAATCTTTTGTACCCTCTTCTAAAAACATTTCTTCTATAAGAACATTTTCCACTCCGTACACCACCATAACCCTATTCTAAACAGAAGGAATGCCTTCATCCTCAAGTTATTAGACTTTCTTTTAAGAAAAGTTGAACGGCGGTTTTAAGGTATGGTTGTTGTTTTAACTAAAGCCCATATCGTGAGTCCGCAGTTTCATTGGTTATATGTTTACTTAACTAATATTGTTTGCAAAACCCTTTGTTATATAAGTAAAGCCAAAGTTAATTGATATAATATATAATTGCTCAGCATTGTTTTGACAACAGGTGTGCCGAAACTTAATGGGAGTCGCCATGCAGCAGAGGTAGCTTCAATGGCTGTTGACATCCTGGATCACATTGAGCGCCTAGAAATACCCCACCTACCAGGCACAAAATTTCAACTGAGAATCGGTTGTCACTCAGGTAAGTTCTGTTTTACAGAATCTTTCCATTTAAACATTGTGGTCTAAAAAGCGTAAATATAATGAAATGTATAATTCATCTACAACATCAATTACAATTCAATACAAGTCGTTTTCAGTTAAAAGAACCCGATGTCTCTAGTGATAAATATACTTGAGTGTTGTAATCTGTACTGCATATCAGGTTTTGTGGTTTCATAAAGCTTATGGATGGCATAGTGATACAGTCATTTGACCGATGACTGTTTGTAACCTCGTGACTGTAAAAGACGATTAGACATCTGTTCGACTGTTATAGAGGCAGCATACTGCTACTGAACATCCACTTGACTTGGTAATGTGACACTCCACATATTACATAACACTGCCCCTGGTGCTAACCGTTCCATTTAAACTGCAGGTATACAATGTATAGATATGGTTTGCCTTTTTGACTTAAGTGGATGATCAGCGCTAAGGCTGAAACACAGTTAATATCAAATCAAATGTTAGAAATGTTTGCCAGAAAAATTAAAAACCTTTAATATAGTAGCTTCTTGGCATTTTACGTTTTAATTAATTATTATAAGATTTGTAACGTTTTCGGTAGACATTTGACGGATTTTGATGTTTAAGGTCCTGTCGTATCAGCAGTGGTTGGTACGAAAATGCCTCGCTACTGCCTCTTCGGTGTGACAATCAACGTGGCCTCGATGATGGAATCGTTTGGAGCAGGTATGTTTACAACTAATTCACATCTGGCATGTTTCCTCCTCAAACAGTATATTGGTCAACCGCTTTCATATATAATGACATCACAAGAAAAACACAGAAATTAGTGAAATTATTCAAACATTTTATAAGCGATAATGATAAAATAGTAAACAATATGTACATTATATTTGATAATTTCTATGTTTTGTTCAATGAAATCAATAAATATCTTAAAGCTCTCCGTAGCATATAATGATACGAGTCAAGGTGGCACTGCAGTCCTATAAGAATAAAAAATCTCAAAATTTAGCAGATGACATTTTCGAATATTTTTGAAATCGATAGACGATAGCGACAGCTTGCTCTGCTTTGACAAGGGCCGTAGATGGAAATTTGCGAATAGTAGCTTACCTCTGTCACATATTTAGTTATGGTGAGGGAAAATAAGAAGTTTCGACACTCATCTGCGTTTAAATCACAACTTTTGATTTACGTATTGGTAACAACTTGTTTCCGGCACTGTTTTTACTACTATTCCGGATTCTGTTATGGTATTGTTGTCTATTATTCAGACCAGAGGAACGTTTGATTTACGTTCTTTGACTTTCGAGCTTAAAACATTTTCATGACATAGACATTTCCCACAAGCAGTAACAGCGCTTCAAGAAATGTGCATTTTTAAAGACTTGACAGTGTTTATGAAAAACTATGCCCCCTGGTGCATGGGACATTAAAATTGTACTAAGTACATGTGATAATTGCATGAATACCATGTGAAACACCTATTTCTTCGATTTGACAATGACTTTTTTTTTTACTTTCAAATGTAGGTTAAAGGTCACGGTCAAGGTCACGTAGTCAAAAATGTTGATACCAATAAAAAAGTAATGTCACAAGAAACACAGGCCAAATTTAAAATCTCTACCTCTTACAATGTAATACGTATGGCCAATGTTACAATTTTTCAAATGTAGATCAAAGGTCATGGTCAAAGTCACATGGTCCCAAATTTTGGTACCACTTGAAAGGTCTCATCACAAGAAACACACATGCCAAATATGAAAGCCCTATCTTTTACGGTGCAATAGTTATGGGTAAGCTTAAAGTTGATAACAGACAAACAGACAGACAAACATCACAAAAACAATATATCCCCGATCTTTCCATGCATGGTACATAATAATTAACACCGGAAGTAAAAATAGGTAAACAAAACAAGAGGCCTATAGGCAGACAACAACCAGTAGCATTTTAAAACGAAATTTTAGAACGTTCACTTTATCACCTCGCTCGCCTCCCCAGATAAGATACAAAACAAATGGCTCAAAATAACAGAACGTCTTTCATCGGATGCAATTTGTTGATGCACCGAATTTGGATCATGTATTAAACATGTAGGGCAGCTAAGACTGTAACTCATGACCGTTAATTAGCAATTGTTGTGATTGAATGAAATGAAGTGAATAATAAAAACTAAACTACTATGTATCATCAATGCCAGATTTATTTTAGAATCTTTCCTACCGCTAATAATTTTTGTTTAAAAAAGCTTTATAGGGCTGAACAAACCGGTGTGTGCCACCTTTGAGCACATGAAAGAAACAATCCTTCACACACATCACCAATTAAAGTCGCTATTGCATTGGGCTATTGACGAAGAGAATAAACAAATGATTTATTTTTCCTTTTTTTATCCTGTCTAGGTTCATTGCACAACCATTAACGTTTTAAAATCGATGTAAGTTATTTACAACCCTTTCGAATAGTCGCTTTCACATTAACGGACCAACACACCAGAAATACTATCGACAGAGAAAGAGGAATATCACTTTGTAGGCCTTATGAAAGCTAAATAAGATAAGAATGTCTTGAATGTTATTGATCAGTCAATGATAGGGGAAAGGGCTGGTAAAATGAAGAGTACTGTTTTAGCCAAGGTGTACTCCTTGATCACTTTAGCCTCTTCTTCATCCTTCAGATTGAAAGTCTACGTCACAATGAATCAGAAACAAGATCACGTGTTAAATGTTACTCAACAATTAGAATTTGGAATTAATAGATACTTTAAAAAAGGATAAAAGAGCGTGTGTGATGTTTTCTTACAGAATAGGTTTCTCCCCCCCCCTGGGGGGGGGGGGGGGGGGTATGTAATCACTTGAGCTTGGGATTTCATGTCTTCGAAGATCCGACAATAAAGTTTGATAATATATATTAAAGTCATGATTATATTTTCCAAGCGAACAAAATCCATATAAGCGAGACAACTCGTGACCTGCTGTGTGAATCGGGCGGATTCATTGTTGAGGAGAGAACTGACTGTCCACAACAGGTAACTATCACAAAGAATACTTCTCATTTTTTATTATTGTTTTCAAATGAGATGAAAACCTTCTCGAATATATATGAAACAGACACATTTAAATGTCCGTGTATTACGTATCTATTGCTAAGTTTCCCAGTACAACAAAACATTTCTGAATACAAACAGTTTAGCAAGTTTTAAGTGGTGGATAACTGTACTAGATGTAACGTTTTCTGTATATTTTCATAATTAACATGCCATTCTGAAATATCTATACGTTTTTTCTAGTTGAAGGCTGAGGTAGAGAGAACTTTCCGTTGTGTGGTGAGGACGTACTGGCTTCTTCATCGTGAGGGAAACGACGCGCTAGCTGCCCGTAGCCTTGGTTCCTCAACTGATTGGCAGTAGTTAATTCACCAAAAACAACTGGTGAACATTTTGGTTTTATTTCACTTTTCCTTTATCGAAAGATCCCGCGACAGCACTGTACACCACGTGTAGTCATGAAATACACAGGAGACAAACATGAATATTTTGATAATTATATTTTAAACATTGGTAAAATTTCATGCCTTAAAATAAGATTTTAGGCCTCTACCATCAGTTGACCCTCTTATGGTTATAATAAACGTCACCCTCTCCCAAAAACAAATGTTAGATCCAATATTACGAAAATATGGAACTAACAATTTTCGTTAATTATATTAGATTCTACCAATCTTGGTAGAAAGATTGTCTAAACTTCAGCTATTTTGACCCCGCCCCTCGGACCTGTATTTATGTGTCAAAGTTTGTAGAGATGTAATTGTTGTGAGGATTGTATATATAATTCGGTGCATCTTTTGTCATGAAGAGTTCCTGCAAACATATTATCAAAATTAATTAAGATAGAGTAAATGAAAACTGCCACGGATAAAGGACGCTTAAAAATAATTATTTTGAATCAAGCTTCGTCTTTCCATCTGATTTCGATAAAACTAGCTATTCACAAGGCGTATAGGATGTGAGAACCTGTATATCATATGTTTGTAAATTTATGAACTTTTTAGTGTTTATATCCGTGCAGATAGCATTCAGTTTACATGTATATACACAGCATTTATCTCTAGGATTTCTTTTTGATTTCTTGGCAAACAAAGTAGTTTGTGCAACATTACTTTTTTCTTTTGAATGAATGATTGATAGTCAAATGTTAAGGTAAAGATGCCGAATGATGTTAAAATAAGTAACATTATATAGTGATTTTTTTCCTGGAAGATTAGCTTTCCTCTGTTTTAAAGCTGAAAAAATTAATTTGAGTACTGAAATTAAAACGTATGTATGATTTTTTAAACTTCTTTGTAAGTTTTGAAAAATAACTAGCGAGTTGTGAAATTGTATCACTTGGAAGCAAATATTTAAACTATATTCCCCGTCATTTGGGGTACCATCTCCCCAATCAATTTTATTCATTGCAGAAATGATTACGTACTCGTGATAATTACGATCAGATATAGAGATTTTAAAGATATTTCTCCAACTTCCCTATTCGTGGCCGTACATCCAGTCCCTAGGGGTTGAATCAACATTCTGAATTTCAGAAATTACTGGCCACCCTTAGAAAGTACTGACAGTTGTGCAACAATGGAAACAATTTGATTATTTGTGTGTAACGAAAACTACCCGACAAACGTAGTGCTTAAGTTTGCAAAGTGAAGACAATGAAATGAATTTTACTGGATACAGTGTAAAGACTTCAGCCCGTCGTTACTGCGGCTTGGGGAGGGAATCTTATGTCAATCACGTGTTGTGGATAGATTTTATAACAGAAAATTTAAATGTTGTTATGCCAGTCTCAGTTTCAAAATGCGGTTGTGATTCAGAAATACGACGGCTAAATGAAAAAATAAGTAAATAAAAGTCCAGTTTGTTCCCGTATCACCTGAATAGTTTAACTTTTCCATATGATAAGCTTCAGCAGAAATTTAGGCTGAACCACAAATTGTAAGGATGAACACACAGTCAGACCGAACACACAAACAGTCAGACCGAACACACAGACAGACCGAACACACAAACAGTAAGGCCGAACACACAAACAGTCTGGCTGAATACACAATCAGTCTGGCAGGAAATACAAACAGTCTGGCTGAATACATAGTCAGTCAGGCCGAACACACAGACAGTCTGGCCTAACATACAATCAGTCAGACCGAACACTCAAACAGTCTGGCCGAACACACAAACAGTCAGGTTGAATACACAGTCAGTCAGGCCGAACACACAAACAGTCAGGCCGACACACAAACAGTCTGGCTGAACACACAATCAGTCAGTCTGGCTGAACACACAAACAGTCAGGCCGAACACACAAACATTTAGACCGAACACCCAAACAGTCTGGCTAAATACACAGTCAGTCAGGCCGACACACAAACAGTCAGGCCGAACACACAAACAGTCTGGCCGAACACACAAACAGTCAGGTCGAATACACAAACAGTCTGGCTGAGACACAAACAGTTAGGCCGAACACACAAACAGTCAGGCCGAACACACAAACAGTCTGACTGAATACACAGTCAGTCAGGCCGAACACACAAACAGTCTGGTTGAATACACAGTCAGTCAGGCCGAACACACAAACAGTCTGGCCGAACACACAGTCAGTCAGGCCGAACACACAAACAGTCAGGCCGACACACAAACAGTCAGGCCGAACACACAATCAGTTTGGCTGGAAATACAAACAGTCTGGCTGAATACATAGTCAGTCAGGCCGAACACACAGACAGTCTGGCCTAACATACAATCAGTCAGACCGAACACTCAAACAGTCTGGCCGAACACACAAACAGTCAGGTTGAATACACAGTCAGTCAGGCCGAACACACAAACAGTCAGGCCGACACACAAACAGTCTGGCTGAACACACAATCAGTCAGTCTGGCTGAACACACAAACAGTCAGGCCGAACACACAAACATTTAGACAGTCAGTCAGGCCGACACACAAACAGTCAGGCCGAACACACAAACAGTCTGGCCGAACACACAAACAGTCAGGTCGAATACACAAACAGTCTGGCTGAGACACAAACAGTTAGGCCGAACACACAAACAGTCAGGCCGAACACACAAACAGTCAGGCCGACACACAAACAGTCTGACTGAATACACAGTCAGTCAGGCCGAACACACAAACACAAACAGTCTGGCCGAACACACAGTCAGTCAGGCCGAACACACAAACAGTCAGGCCGACACACAAACAGTCAGGCCGAACACACAATCAGTTTGGCTGAACACACAATCAGTTTGGCTGAACACACAATCAGTTTGGCTGAACACACAATCAGTCAGGCCGAACACACAGTCAGTCAGACCGACACACAATCAGTCTGGCCGAACACACAGTCAGTCAGGCCGAACAAACAAACAGTCTGGCTGAACACACAATCAGTCTGGCCGAACACACAGTCAGTCAGGCCGATACACAATCAGTCTGGCCGAACACACAGTCAGTCAGGCCGAACAAACAAACAGTCAGGCTGAACACACAGCCAGTCGGGCCGAACACAAACAGTAAGGCCGAACACACAAACAGTCTGGCTGAATACACAGCCAGTCAGGCCGACACACAAACAGTCTGGCTGAACACACAATCAGTCTGGCTGAATACAAAGTCAGTCAGGCCGACACACAAACAGTCTGGCTGGCTGAATACACAGTCAGTCAGGACGAACAAACAAACAGTCAGGCTGAACGCACAGTCAGTCAGACCGAACACACAAACAGTCTGGTCGAACACACAGTCAGTCAGGCCGACACACAAACAGTCTGGCTGAATACACAGTCAGTCAGGCCGACACACAAACAGTCTGGCTGAACACACAGTCAGTCTGGCCGAACACACAGTCAGTCAGGCCGACACACAAACAGTCAGACCAAACACACAAACAGTTTGGCTGAATACACAGCCAGTCAGGCCGAACACACAAACAGTTAGGCCGAACACACAGTCAGTCAGGCTGAATACATATTCAGTCAGGCCGAACACACAAACAGTCTGGCTGAATACACAAACAGTCTGGCTGAATACACAGTCAGTCAGGCCGACACACAAACAGTCTGGCTGAACACACAGTCAGTCTGGCTGAATACACAGTCAGTCAGGCCGAACAAACAAACAGTCAGGCTGAATGCAGAGTCAGTCATGCTGAACACACAGTCAGTCAGACCGAACACACAAACAGTCTGGTCGAACACACAGTCAGTCAGGCCGACACACAAACAGTCAGACCAAACACACAAACAGTTTGGCTGAATACACAGCCAGTCAGGCCGAACACACAAACAGTTAGGCCGAACACACAGTCAGTCAGGCTGAATACATATTCAGTCAGGCCGAACACACAAACAGTCTGGCTGAATACACAATCAGTCTGGCTGAATACACAGTCAGTCAGGCCGACACACAAACAGTCTGGCTGAATACACAGTCAGTCAGGCCGACACACAAACAGTCTGGCTGAACACACAGTCAGTCTGGCTGAACACACAGTCAGTCAGGCCGAACAAACAAACAGTCAGGCTGAACGCACAGTCAGTCAGACCGAACACACAAACAGTCTGGTCGAACACACAGTCAGTCAGGCCGACACACAAACAGTCTGGCTGAACACACAATCAGTCAGGCCGACACGCAAACAGTCTGGCTGAACACACAGTCAGTCAGGCCGACACACAAACAGTCTGGCTGAACACACAAACAGTCAGGCCGAACGCACAGTCAGTCATGCTGAACACACAGTCAGTCAGACCGAACACACAAACAGTCTGGCCGAACACACAGTCAGTCAGGCCGAACATACAGTCAGTCTGGCTGAATACACAGTCAGTCAGGCCGTCACACAAACAGTCTGGCTGAATACACAGTCAGTCAGGCCGACACACAAACAGTCTGGTTGAATACACAGTCAGTCAGGCCGACACACAAACAGTCTGGCTGAACACACAATCAGTCTGGCCGAACATACAAACTTGCATTGTTTATGTTTACGTCCAATTTGCCATTCATTGTTTCATTTTTACCAGTTGTTGTATTCTATATACAACACATTCCAGGGTAATATTAGTATCAAACAGTTCACGTGATATGTCACTGATGTAAAACTCTGTGTAAATACGTTGTACCAGTAAAGTTCAAATTATATTATCTACAGTCGCTGTTGTTCGTTAAGTGGAGTAAGATATTTTTCAGGATACAGAAACTCATTCAACAGGTGTTATTGTGTATGCAATTATCGATATACTATGATTTATTTCTTACGGATTAGTCAATTATAATTTCCTTCAAGTAACGATTTTTAGTTCTATTTTCTGTGTCATGTAGTTCGATATGACATCAAAAATTACGACAAACAGCTT